TCTGATCGGCATAGCATCGGCTGTTGCACTCACTTGGGGAGTGAATCATCAGACGGAGGATCTTCCTCTCTGTCTTTCCTCCTGTCTGTATATCTGACTTTGTAATAAAAATAAATAAATGTTTCAAAAAATATCTTTTTCCATTTATTAAAAATTAATTCAAGTCTCAAATTCTGGTAAGATGTATATTATTCTTGAGATTAAAAAGTCCATGACACTGAGATGGCAGGATAATAGTATCATTTTGAATCATTTTGAATGATATATAGAAAACAGTGAAAATCTGATTCCTGAGGTAACACAACAAATGAAAACATAATGTTACTAAAACATACCACATGTTGCACATGGTGCCAAGTAAGCAGGGGAAAGGGAAGAACGACAACTGTCAGTGAGAAGCTACATTCACAGCAAGAACAGAACAGAGAAAGTTGGAAACAAAGTAAAAATTCTTCAAGGACGCAGTTAAGTGCAGTCCAAACCCAACGCATGTGGTATGATGTCCCTGAGACATTAATGCCCACTGTGGGTACCACTTTGTAGAAATTCCTCAGGTTTTTCAAGCTAGATGCAACTGAAAACAATAGGATATTTTTAAACAATTGACCTTTACGTAAACACTAACCCTAATTCAGGTATTTACACAGAAATTTCCAGAGTGCTGAGCTTGGTCAAAATAAGCAAGATAATCAAATTTCCTGGTCTTCTAACAATCTTTGGTCTTTCCATTTCAGGCAACAAGATTTAAGTATATGAATTTAAAACAAATATCTGTGATCAATACTACCCTCACAAAAAGGACTGTTGAGCTCTACCAACAAGACAATCATGAGGAAGCAGAGTGATTACTGGTGGCTGGGGGACTGACTGGAATGGTTTCAAATGATGCTGATAAGCAAAAATGATTATGGTATGTAAGGGGATCAGTTCCTATCTGCCATTGGTAACTGAAAAGAAGGCACACATACAATGTCACCAACAGTATTCCACAGAGGGGATTCTATGGGAAAGTCACCCTCCTTCAGTATTTTCAGGGGACCACCATGTAGAGGAAGTGGAAGGGGGGTGGGAGAGGGCTGCAGAATACCTAGGACTGTTGAATCAATTATCCTGAGAAAAGGCAGTCTGGAGGAAAAAAACTCATCTTTGATCCAAGTATATACAATGAAGCTCCAAAGAGGCTTCCGGACACAGTGGAAACCAAGGGTAATTTAGAAAACTTGGAATAAAGTCCCAAGAGCTAAGTAAATAGTTAAGAATTTGAGAAATCAGAACGTCCACAAATTTGCGGATGTGACACTTTATGGTCAACAGCTACAAATACTAAGACGTATCATATTGCTAGACTTTTTCTTGGGGTGGGTTTAGAACTGAATCAAGCTCACAACTGGAAATTCTTTAGCACCTGTAACTGTGCTGGGTGGCGGGGACGTGGGGCTGCTGTTCCCATATGGAGGAACTGAGTATGCTAATTACATGGCAAAGAGCTCCAAAGATTTCCCCAATTAAAGAAAAAATGCAGCTAATGTCATTGAAGCCATTTATCAAACAAAATACTTCAGCATAAAGCTTGTTCACAAAAGGAAACACCAAAATTCTTTTCTAGACTATTGGCAAATGGCTGAGGCTGTATACAGTCTATTATGGCTACAGTAACCATTAGTCTTCAGATATCTATAAGCAAATTAAGAAAACACGTCTCCTCTCCAAATAAATTAGAATTAGTTGCTTTCACTGAGCATGCAACTGGCAAAACCCTACATCAGGGATGGGGAATGTCTGGTCCATGGACCTCCCTCTGATCCCTATACCAAAATTATTAGAGCAGTCTTACTGTCTCACCCAATCATTAGCTTATAAGGTTCACAACTGATTATCTTCCCCTCCTAGGCAAAGATGCAACAACCAGTTAATACGTTGCCTCACTATGAACGTGGTTTGAAGCACCTGGATTTCATCGTCTTCCCTGACTTACAGGAACAACACAGCGAGGCATTATTGTTGGTATAATGGGTGATGCTACTGCCTGGGATGCTGGAAACCACCATGTGCACTGGTTTAAGTTTACTGCTCCACTTCTGAGCCAGCTCCCCGAGAATGTGCCTGAAGAGCAATGGCAGATGGCCCAACATCTTGGTCCCCGGTCTCTATTTCGAGTCCCAGAAGATCCCAGTTCCTGGCTTTCAACAGGCCCAGGCCCAGCCACTGTCCCATGTAGGATTAAATCAGCAAATGGAAGATCTCTCTCAATACAACTCTGCCTTTAAAATAAATAATAAAAAAAGAACACTACAAGTCTGTACTCCACCAAAAGAAACTATATACTCACTGAGAGCACTAATCTTGTGTGAAATGTGTTTGTTTTCCTCACAAAAAGTTATCCGAGTATGTCACCCCAAAATACACAATTTTGGATAAAGATAATTTTGAACCAAAGATAATTAGTTCCATGCCCTCTCCTTTTTGGTCTAAAAGCAGAAATTTTCTTAGGTAAAGGTGGCAAAAATTCTCATTTATAAAAGCCTTTGATTCTCTTAAACAAGGAAGAGAACTATTTTCTTCTACAGAATCAGCTTTACTGAATAATTTATTTACTATACATTCCTTAGTTATCTTCCCACACATATTCCCCTCAGCTCCAGAAATCTAAAATCCTCTTTCCTTTGTCTAGTCTTCATACATTATCATCCCTTGTTAAGAATGTATATAAACCATAAATCCTAATTTCCTCATTTAGTAACTTTCCTTTGGGAACTCATGCATACATTTGTAATGAAATCAAGTTTTTTTTCCTTATGAAATCTAGTTTTTATCAGTTTGATTCATGTACCTCAGTCCCTAAATCTAATGGGGTAGAAGACAACTATTTTCCTTTATTATATCCTCATCTTGATCATATATTTTTTCCCATCCTACATAAACATGTTGGGTATCAACCATCTGAAATGCCTGGAAGCAGAACTGTTTCATATTTTAGAGCCCTCTGAAATTTGCAATGTTTCCATAGACTTTACTGGTTCAATATCCCTTGTCTGAAAATCTGAAATACAAAATGTTCCAAAATCCAAAACTTTTTCACCCTTGAATTTTTTTTTGAAAGATTTATTTATTTGACTTGGGAAGTCAGAGTTATAAAGAGAGGAGGAGAGCCAGAGAAGGTGGGAAGGAGGGAGGGGGAGAGCAAGAAAAGGGAAAGGGAGAGAAGTAGAGGAGAAGGAGGTGAAGCGGGGAAGGAGTGGAAGAGGGGAAGGTAGGGAGGGAAGGAGAGAGAGGGAGAAAGGAAGAGGGAGGAAGAAAGAGGAAGAGAGAGGGAGGGATAGAGAGGGAGGGAAGGAGGGAAGGAGAGAGGGAAGAAAGAGAAAAAGAGAGAAAAAGAATACAGATCACTGGTTCACTCCCCAGATGGCTGCAATGGCCAGAGTTGGACCAGTCCAAAGCCAGAAGTCAGGAGCTTTTTCCAGGTCTCCCGTACAGGTGCGGGTGCTCAAAGAGTTGGGCCACCCTCCATGGTTTCCCCAGGCCTTGAGCAAGGGCTTGGATTGGAAAGTGGAGCAGCCAGGACACAAACCAGTGCCCACAAGGGATGCCAGCACTTGCAGAAAGAAGATTAGTCTGTTATGCCACAGTGCCAGCCCCAGCCTTTGTATTTTGAATTTAGGATTTTGGATGAGGAATGGCCACCCTGTGTTAAATGCTATACATTTAGAGTGATTTTTCAAACTCTACTTAGAAAAAAATAACTAGAAATGAAAATTTCTTTATAATATAACAACAATGACATTAAGATTTTGTTGTTAGGACCATGTCAACAGTTAAAAGTTAGTACATCATTTGAAAATCTGTCATTCCTCTCTGAAAATCCTTAATTTCACCAATTTTTTAATGTTTATTTGACAGAGAGGCAAAAAAAAAAAAAAGCACGTACACTAGGAAATACAAGATAGGAAAGAAAAATAAAAATAAACCCCACTCATTGGTTTACTCTCAAATTTCTAATGGCCTCATTGAAACCCTTGAGTGGGGAAGCCGACATACTTCTCCCACGTGGGTCAGAGCAGTACTAGCACCATCACTGCTGCCTCTCAGTGTACACTGCAGGAACCTGGAAATGGGACATGGAGCTGGTGACTGATCCTCAGGACCGCAAGGCCAAGGGCACCCACAGGGCTAACTACCAGCTAGATAAGAGGTCCTTGCCTAATCTAGATACAACTTTATCAGCAGCATACTTTAACATTCTCTCCTTTACATTCCCAAAGGCTATCAGAACAACTACTACCCTATCAAAACCATGTAAGAAACTGCTCAATTTTTCTGAAATTCATTACATAAATATTTTCTATTCAATTCCTAAAAAACAAATTTCAGAGGAAACATTTTAGTAGAAATGTCAGGCAATGTCAAAATATAATTTAGCCTACCTTTAAGCAAGATAAACAAAATGTTGCTTGGCTTTATGAAGGTATTTAATGTTAGAAGAGAATGTGTAAAATTATCATTTTCATAGAAAAATGTATTATTGAGAACCTAGGGATCACTTTGACAATTTTTGTATCTCCCTATTATTTTAATTAGCATTAACATTAATTTAACAGTAAATGCTTTACACTAAAATGCATTCAATATAATTTTGAGAACAGAAAAACACCTTGCAATTATGGTTCCAAAATAATTACGAAATAAAGTCCTGCCACCATAAGCATTTTTATTTGCAAATAGAACTGATTGTACTAATACAGACAGTAACATCCTCCTGATGAAATACTTCTACTTTGGTTCTCTAGATGGAACCCTGTAGGGAAAGACCAATGCAGCTCACCACAACGCAGCTCACCAGTGTCTCTTTCCATGTGAAGACAGCCACAACCATTACCCTCAAATGGATGAAGCCCATTACACACCATGTGCACATTGATTTCTTTAAATATCTACTGTGTATTTGTAACTTAAGACTGGTTACAAAGAAAGAATGTAAAACAGAGACGGGGGGAAAATCTCACCATGTTTTCCTCGGGATATATCCACATATTGACACAGCCGGGGATGGGTGATAGTCTTAAGAATCTGAAAGCGCCCTAAAATTTTGATGGAATTTGGTGTGAGAGGAAGTCCATTGCTTCCACATACATCATGGGGCAGAGCTGAAGCAAAGAAGGTAAAGGCGCCAATTTCAGCATCCTTTAAGGGAAACATCTTTGGAATCCTAGATCTTCCTAGTTGACCTGGAAAAGGAGAAAATTTTCTAACAGATCCACCATAAATTAAGTAGAATGAATAACATACAACTTGAAGGAAAATAAAACACCCTTTACAGCACAAACAAAACCAAAAAACTACCCCTCCCATCACCCCAAAAATTCACAAGCAAATATCTTAACTGCCACGTCAAATGCATATCCCACGTTAGTATGCTTCATAATGCCCATACTACAAACCTTATCTAGCCATATAGCTGAGTGTGCTGTACATATTTCATAAAAACAAGATGCTTTAAAATAAATGCTTTTAAAATCATTTAATACAAAACATACATTTTTCAACAAGGGCAGAGGAATTTATAAGAAGACATTCTTTTGAGCAAGGTACTGCTGCAATACATATGGGAGAAACAGAATAACCACAACCCCCTACTGATACAATGACAGAAATCAGAGACCCAAACAGAAAAGTTAAAACTGTCAGTCTTCTCAAAGAAAATGTAAGGGAATATTTCAATATGCTTATGCTAGGCAAAGGTTTCTTAGCTATAAAGCAAAAATGGATTAAGGCAATTTTTATTAAAATAAAACATTTTCACACCAGAAGAAATGGCAGAAATAAAAGTGTTAGCCCAAAATAATACCGTGCATACATGCATGATGTTAGTGATATACATTAAATATTTTTCTCACCAAATACATGTATCTGTCTATATGACTTGTATCCAGAATTATAATCTCTTACAACTCAATAACAAAACACACAAGCAAATACATACAGAGGTAAAAGCAAAAAACAGGTTTTCAGTATCCACCCCTCCCCCCAAAAGGCACACAAATAGCAACCACATGAGAATGTGCTTAATAATCATCAATTTCAGGGAAATCAAACCCACAAAAGGCTAACTTCTGCTGCTCCCAAACAGTGGAAGTTAAATGACCGCAATAGTAACAGGTGTTGAGAATGTGGAACTGAGCTCTGATACATTGCTTGTGAGACTATGCATGGTATAAGAACTCTGGAAAAATTTTTTTTGAAAGAAGATCTCTAGCTTATGATTTTAAAATTCCACTTGAACTAGGTATTTGTCCAAGAAATGACTTGTCAAAAAAGACAGTCCATGAGCTTTTCCCTGGCAGTCTCTTCGTAACAACTAAAAATGAGAAGCAAACACCCCAGAAGGAAATGAAGAAACAAGCTGTGGCCCACTCACCCCAGGGATGATACTGAACAAAAAGGAGACACAAGTAAGATCATGAATGCACAGCTGAAAGAAGATACAACTCCACCGAAGTGTTCTTCTCCAGAACTGAACTTCTCAACTACAGTGATAAAAATCAGGGGGAGTGCCCGGATAGGGAAGAGACGGATGGGATGGGCAAGGAAGCAGTGAGACGTCCTTCTAGTGATGGAAATGTGCTCGCTGCATCTTGATCAGAGCTGGTAGTTACAAGGAGGATAACTTCCGTCGGAATTCACCCATCTGATCACTTCCAGTCAGCACATTTTAATACGGTCAAAAATCATCTCATAAAAAGAAACATATTAATGGGTTATATGAAAAGTATAACAAAAGTAAATAAACGAAAATTATATGCCTGCCAAATCAAAAAGAAGTAATGCAAAAAGAAATTCAGAGCATAGGAAAAAAGACACATAAAAATATTAAAAAGACACACATAGTGGATCAAATCAAAAGCTCAAAAATCACTTCGTAGGAATTTTAAGGATAACAGGAGAACAAAAAACCAGGGAAATGTAACAAATTATGAGGTAACAGTGAAAAATCCTCAATAGTTGACAGAAAATACATAAGTTCAAATTTACAAGGTTTATAGTTTCAAGAAGAGTAAGTTTAATACATCAACAATTATCTAAGCTTCTCCAAGAGAATTTATTGCAGTGAGAATAAATTACTTGCTGGACAAATAACCAAATATTTTCAAAACCTAACCAGAAATTTTAACCATTTCAGAGGAAAAAAATATATCAGCTACCAAAAAGTTAAGAGCAGACTGACATGCTCATTTTCTACTGATATATAAAAAACAAACCACAAACTGTAAAGACTTATAGGAATATAATTTTGATTCTTTGCTCAGCCCAACTACCAATCACAATAGCAAACAACTGATAGCCGTGTAAACACTAACAAAAATATCCTCCACACAGCATTTGCAAACATGTTTTAGGATTCCTTTTGCCAAATCATAGGAAGAAACAAAACAACAAAAAACGTGAGGCTAAGAAACTGTAATTGACCCATCAGAGCAAGGAATGTAAACCCAGGAAAGCAGTTACTCAAAACAGATACAGGGCAATCAGCTGAAATCACATAGAAAGCCCTTGCACCTAAGGCAACCGATTACAGTGAGTGGGAGAGAAGTTCCTCACACAAAGGATGAAGCAAGAACAAGTGTCTCCCCTGCTTAAAGGAAGGAGCAAGCCAGCCGGCCATGGAGGCGAAACTGTTACAAACCACATGAGTGCATGGTTCAAAAATAAAACACACTAAGCAACAGTATTATTTTTTTGCCACTGACATGAAAGAATTAATTTGGCCTTATTGGGAAGAGTAATCAGTGAGGAATAAAAAAAAAAAGCAGATAAGCAAAAAATTATAGTTGGGAAATAAACATAACTTTAGACAATGTACAACGTACAAGTTTAAGGGGAGGTTGTTTCCATGACGATAAAGGAAGAAAGGTTGTCACCACTTTCCTCGTTTTACCTGATCGTCAAACACACTGTTGCAGTTGATGCACTAAGGTAGGGTTAACACAGATTTACATACATTATTTAGGTACACATGCTGACCAATACAAAAACCATTTCAAGGTGTAGAGATGCTGTGGATAGTATGAACAATCTTAAGAAGTCGACATCAATAGAACAATGTAACTTACTAATCAACACATAGACCTAAAACTACAAAAAGTGGAAAATGATTTTCACTGAAGAACAGGAGCGACCTGGGAAGGGCAAGGCAGTAACAGCTGCATTTTATTATTCAATTCTACCACACTAAACTGATTTTCAATTGCATGCCTTTCCACACTTCGACACCTGAAAACCAAATAAAACTAACAAAATTTGAAATATTTTTTAAGAAAGACAACGCTAATTAGCACGAGATTAGTGTCTCGCTTTAACCACCTTACACATATGTGCACAAAGCTACTCATTACAAAAATACACACACACCTGTATACACTTGGTTAATAAAACAAAGCTGGTATTAAAAAAGGGGGGGGGGGGAACGATGCAGAAAACAGCCTTGTAAGCAAATGAGCTTGAAAATCATTCTTTCCTCAAACATTTTGAAGCTCGTATTTTAAGCTAGATGCTTTGGTGACTGTTGAGCCAAGAACCGTGAACAAGACACAATGTTCGCCTTCAGTGAACTTGCGAGTACAATGAATCAAAAGTAGCGGGCAAATTAGCGAAAAAGACGCAGGTGCAATAAGTAAAATGATTTCCACATTTCTTCCACAAAAGACACTGATTATTTTATATGCATCCTCTAAAAAAAAGTTATGTCTATTTGGAATACAAAAAGGAAGAGCCGGCCTAGAAAACTAGACACTGTTAATTTTAAGTTCCTTCCCTCTATTGCTTCACTTTGTTCCACTGCCTAAGGGAGATTAAAATTAACCTAATCGCTAAACCTTGAACAGAAATGAAGCCAACCACGCCTGCTTCTATGGTGAGTCACGGAGGGGCCGATTCTAGGTTGTCCGGCCTCTCCTGACGCCTTCTTTTCGAGCAGTCACGCAGCGGTGGCTTTGGGGATTGCTGAAGTGAACGGGTAATTTCCTAGGAAGGAGACCTGGGGTGGAGACACCATCCAGGAGCAAGCAGGGCGATGCACCGCTCCACTGTCTCCCCTTGCGGACGCTGCGGGGCCACTCCGTGCACCTCACAGCATTCTACCTCCCACTGGCCCCACCGACCAGGACACACACACGGGGGTTACCCAATACCTGCCTCCGAGCCCGGGGTCGCAGGCGGGCACATAAACAAGGGGGTCGGAGCCCCACTGCTGTCGCTGCGGCTGGCGTGACCGCTACTGCTTAGGGCGCCAGACCCTGCATTTCAGAGGGCTTCTACCAAAATGCTCGGAGCACGGGGCCTCGCCTCTGTTGCGAACTGAGAGAGCGCAGCTGTGCGGCCCGGAAGCCGACGCTCGCCCTTTGACAGCTCCTGGCCCACCTCGCCCATCCTCCACCTCGCCCCGCTCCTCTTCTGACCTCACCGCGTGCGCGACTCCGCGGTGAGGAAAGACCCTGACTTCCGGCCTTCCGCCTCGTGCCCGAACGGCCGACGAAAATGTAGCGACCCGAGAAAGAACGGCGGGCGCGGTGGGCGGTATCGGGCGGCAGGACAGGGAACGTGATGTGCTGGTGAGCGGGCCTTGGTGGAGGAAGGAGATGGCCGAATGGAGGGGGTTGACTCTGCGGACTGCTCAGGCATTTTCCGCGGGCACCACGTTGGGTCCTCGTTCCCTGCCACGTGTGTGCTAGAGGCAGTCCCAGGCTGCTCCCGGCTGAGCTACCCCGGAGCCCTCGTCCACTGTGGATGTGAGTGACGTCGTGGAGGGTCCTGGGCAGGCGGACCGCGATCGTAGGGAGGTCTTCCTTCTCTTCCTCGCTTCCAGGAGAGAGCAACCGGACTGTGGGGGCTTAGCGGGGAGGCAACTTGCATCTGTACCAGCCTTGGAATGAGGAAGTCAGGAACAGGCTTGGGACCTTTCCATGGAGCCAAGTTTGAGAGATTGGGGTGCAGGTCCGAAGCAAGGGGTAGTATGAAAAAGATAGGATCGTAGCATGGCTGTGTGTGAATGTGTGTGTCCGAAGACGTGGGAATTCGTAGGCGCAGGGAGAGAGGTCCTTCATTTGGCAAATCCTTATGAAGTGCCCACTGCATTCCAGGCACTGCTTTAGACACAATGTAAAGAGCAGTGAGCAAAGCAGACGGAAATTCCTGTCCTGTAGCGCAAGTTTTTAGCGAAGAAGACATAGAGTGGGAGGGGATAGTGCATAGTGAGTGCGTTGTGGATGCGAGGAGGACTGACGGGAAGATGATGCAGCGGGGGATATCGGTGTGGCCAGGAAACCTCTCCTTGACAATGTGACTGTCATGTAAGTTGGCAGAAGTGAGAAGTCCCCGTGCAGGTGTCTTGGGGCAAGTGCAGTTGGGAAGGACTTGGCGACACAACAGGGATGCCAGGAAGAGTTGGGTGAAGGCAGTAACAGCATCCCTGGCTTCTCATCACAGACAAGGCTGCAGGAAGAGCGAGCCCTTAGGAGAGCTTTCGTTCAACCCACAGAGAAAGGCCCAGTGGATGGTAACAAATGGCCAGTCCTGTTCTTGGTGTAGTTAATTTAGGATCGGGAAACTGCTATGAATAACACGTTAGTATTAGGTTAGAATGACACAATTAAAATTCATGGTACTGTCAGGTGATCCTTGAATGGATTTAGATCGTACCATTTCCCTGGAGTCTATCTATAAAATGGAAATATCTTACAAGATAATGAGGATTAAATGTTAACATATGGCCCTGATCCGTGAAGGAAGTAGCTATGGTTTTTAAGTTTTAGGAAAGATCTGTGTAAAGGTAGTAATGAATGCATCCGTGAGTGAAAGGGAGGTGGTTAAATTATACAGAAGAAAATTGAATCAGGTGTAAAATGCCCTTGTTGTGAGCCTGAATATAGAACTTCACAGGACGCCTGAACATGCTCCTCTTGCAATTTTATGCCTGTTTTTTCATGGAGGAACGTTTTTGTACTGAGGGCTGTAGCATCAAGCAGTCTTCACACTGACCGCTCACCGACCAGTAGCCTGTAATCATTCATTCCCTCATCTCATAGTGACACCGTGAATCCTCAGCACCCCCTGTGTCCTCCTTAGTCAAGAAAAAGATGGCAAAAGTAAATACGGATTTTCACCAAAAAAAGAGCAGTTTTGTATTTTCCTTTTCTAGGCTTTTAGCTAAGACTGTTGATGTTGCTGCATTTGTTTTATGTTCTCTAAAGAACGTAACTGCCCAGTCATCCCTGGAGTTAATGTGCGATGTTGCTTTACCAGCTGAGTTTTATTTCTGTTGGAAGCATCTTTTAGGGAATTAAAATTTACCACTGGAGTGAGGAGATTTAATTTAGGAGTGGAGGGAAACAAAGTGATGCAAGCTTGCAGGGTTGAAATTAGAGATCTTTCAGTGAGTAATATAGCATGTGTCTAAGTGATAAAAAAGCTTTGGGTCGTGTGAATCACCTAATGGTACCTGAAATAAAGGTTTCCTGACTGAAGGCGTCTTACCGTGGATAGCATCTTATATTCGACAAAAGAATACCTAGTGTCTAAGCAGAATTTAAGTTTTCCCCTAAGGTCCTGTGCTGCAAAATCAAATTGAAAATTTGCACTTAAAAGTTATTTCAAAGTAAGACCTTGTTTTTAAATATTCAGTTCCTAACCTTGAGAGCCTGGGTAACGGGATTTACTATTTAAAAGTGATTACAAACAGTTTGGGGGGGAAGGGCAGTGTTACTGAGCAGGTTGTAGAAGTAGAGAAAAGCATAGGAAAGATAAACACTCAAAATTAATCTTGTCTGTTTCTGCTTTATGTGTAAAAATCAATTCCAACTTCATGGCTTGGGCATCAGCTGTTGCAGCTATCATGTGATTAATAGTTGTTTAGGTTTGGTGAAACCAGAACACTGAGAACAAAATTCCCAGATTGTTTTAGCAAATACTAGTTTCATCATATTAACAGATGTTTCTTTAGAGAAATGACAGTTAAGGCAGTGAAAGGGCTGGTTTGAAAAGCAGGTAGATGAGTTCAAATCCTTGTTTACCAACTTGTTGTATGATATAGGGAAATTGACTGATTTTCCCCAGATGACACAGCTCATTAAGTGTGCCAGTCCAGGAAGGTTTGTTGACTGTAACTACTTAAAAAAAAAAAATCTGCCAGTGCTGGTGATTTTCTGCATGTTATTAAAAAAACAAACAGAAAATCCAACCAATATTTTTTCAGGAATTTGCATGACAATAAATACTAGGAAACTTTCCAGAATTCCTTTTTTAAAATGTTATATATTTGAAAGAGTTACAGAGAAGGAGTCAGTCTTCAGTCTATTGACTCACTCCTCAGATGGCCACAGTGCCCAGAGTAGAGCTGGGTCAAGGCCGTGAACAGCGCCCTTCTGTTTTTCCCCATGGGTGGCAGGTGCGCAGGGGCTTGCTCTGTCTTACACTGCTTTTCCCAGGACTTTAGTAAGGTCCGAATTGGAGCAGCCAGAACTGAAAGCAACGCCCGGTAGGATATTGGCATCGCAGGCAGCAGCTTTATGAACTGTGCCTCAATGCTGACCCCGGGCTTTTTATTCTAAGCAGCACTTAGAATTTGGGGAATGTTTATTAACATTTGTTAATTAAACATGTTTGTTAATATTTATTAACATTTCTCTATAAATGTGTCCAGAAGCCAATTCAAATGTTTTTATGTGTTATCAGATAAGAAATTTGATTATTGTTTTCCAGAGTTTTATATTCCCAAGGGTACTTGTTTGTTGCAGGACAAAAGATTATTCTTACCAAAAATATTTACCCACTTATCCTCTTAATGAAATTTCCTGTGTGGTGATATTGTGGCAGTAAAAACTGTTACAAGCATTCTATGATTGTATGATATGTCATGAATGGTGGAAATTATCAAATTAATATTTAGTTATTGCATATCTAAATGAAGAGTTTGGTCCTAAGTAGTTAGATTGCAAAGTTTTTTCTGGGGTTTCAAATTCACTTGTACTTTAATGTTTTGTTTGTTGAAAAAAAAAAATTTTTTTTTATTACGCTTCATTTGTTCAGTAGTTTTAGGTCCATGGCAAAATCACAGAAAAAAATTCAGTGGTTTTTCTTGTTCTTCCGTACCTTAAAACAAACCAATCTCCATCATAAAGCGATTTTTCCCTTGGTATTCAGGGTCAGTAGTGTGAGCTTGACTCATCGTGGGTTAGGCCCCTCCGTGCTTGAGCCGGTAAGTCGGAGTCCCCCGAGGACCACCGTGGGGCTGTCCAGTGAATGGGCTTCGGTTTCACTCAGTTGTGTTGATGGCCCTTTCTGGCAATGTCTTTGGATTGAGGTATGCAAAATTTTCTGTTGTATTCCTGGGGACAGGAGTCTGGGGAAATACTTGACTTTGTGTTATAAACACAAAACTGAGAAGTACTGTGGAATAGTGAATATCTGTCACTCCCCTAGACCATATACCGCTGACAGATTAGTGCATAACTTGGCTGGTTTATAGAATAGATTTTAAATTTCTTTTACTATCAGCCTCAATTATATTTTTATTATTTGCTACATTATCAACCCTTCAGAAAATATGAAAATCCTACTTAGGGACTTAGAATATATTAACCCGCTATAACTTGAGCTTTTTGAAGGTGGAGATTGTATATTTGCCCTGTTATTTCTTGTGTTCCCCAAATTTAACTCGCTGTCTGACAAGCAGGGAGTTAGCTGCTGCTCATTTGCCCTGTGTCAAAATCTTAGTAAAGGCTGGGTGTTGTGACACAGCTGGTAAATTCCCCGCTTGCTTCGCAGCGCTGCCTGTGGCAGAACGCCCAGGTGGAGCCCTGACCCGGTCTGCAGTTCCAGCTCCTGGTTTCAGCCTGCCCTAGCGTTGATGGTTGCATATATTTAAACAAGTGAAATGCCAAATAGGATATCTCTCTGTCATTGTCCTTTTAAAAGGAATGAAAACCATACATCTTTTTAAAAGAGATCTTAAATGTCTTTTTTTTTTTCCTTTCCCCAGTAGCCTTGTGAGATGTAGAATTATCCTGGTTTTATGAACAGGAAAACTAAAACTCAGGGAGGTTGAGTTACTTGTTCAGAGTCTCAGTGGTATCCTTTTTGTTGGCGCTGTAATGGTTAGATGAATTAATATCTGTGATGGGCTTAGCAAGCGGCCTGGCAAGTAGTAAAAGTGAAGTTAATCTTGGGCATTCCATAGTAAGGTCTAGCAGGAAATTCCAGGTGGCTTTGATTGTCCATCATTGCTTCATCTGTGAGCAGTTGAGTGGAAGTGTTCTCTCTCCATTCTCAATATTTTAAGACTCCATGGCTTAAGTATGAAGTATTTGCCACTGACTTTATCACTGTTCCTAAGGTGACTGCTCTTACTTACATCATGTTTCTTCTTTCACTTGTTTTG